ATGAAGGAGGGGCCTTTGGGGGAATTCACAGTTATGACAAATAATCAGAATGGAATTTAGAAAGTGTTGAGAGCAGAGTGACAAGGACAAAGAGGAAGGAACTATCTGTCTCGGAAAAATTGAAACATCCTCAAAGAATGAGTGACATTTCATTCCAGTCTTGATGAGGCAAGCAATTCCCCAGGTAGGAGGAATGCAAGGCACTGGAGACAGAAGGAAAAGCTTCGACCAAGGTGTGGCAGATGAAGTCCACAGAGTGTTTAGGGAATCCCAAGCACTTGCAGAATGCCTCCCAAACTTGTCCTCCAATGGCTGTGTGCAATTTTGAAGACAGAAAGAACAACTTGTTCTTCTAACTGGTGGCAAGATGCTAATCAACTCGTTGACTTGCAGGATTACTTTTTAAAGTAAAAAATATTCTTTCCTTGCCTAACAGTTGGAAAAGAAATGGTATATGGCCATAGCAGTACTGACCCTGGCTGGTATTTATTTATCTCCAACTCTACTCCATCCATGTCCTCATGCCCATCCCCAGCATTCCACCGCTCTCTTGCCTTCAGCATCTGGTGTGGAGCGTGGCACTTTCCATAATCCTAACAACACTAGCCAGAAGGCAGAGACCACCCATGGCCCAAGGAAGTTGTTTCTTATCACTGTGTTCCTGAGGACATTGCAGAGAACAGAGTGCCTTCAAAAGGGATGTAAAACCCTATTCAACAGCACTTTTAAAGAATTGGTGACCCTATAATAATTTCCATGTCTGCCCACAAAACCAAGCCCAATGCATTCCCACCAGTTACCTAGGGAATGGCAGTTAGGTAGAAACTAAACCATCAGATAACTTTTGAAAGACATGTCCCTCTGCAAAGGCAGGTCCCTATTTCTTCGTGCTTAATTCCAGATCCCCATTGGCAAGCTCTCTTGTGTAATCTCCCAGAACAGCTGGCCTGTGATTGCATTGTCAATTATTAAATGCCCATGTCTCCTGCAAGGCAGCATTTAATCATGAGGCAATCTAAAATATATGAGATAGAAGGGGAGGGCTGGGAAGGAGAGGGGGGAGGTGGGCAGGCAGCTTTCATTCTCGCCACATTTAACCAAAGGGACTGGGAGCACAGATGGCATCCTTTGGTCCCTCCAGACAAACCGCAAGACGCTGACCATGGCCAAGGTAACCAACCTCTTCTTCTTCTTGCTTAGCAGATACTTCCCACAGCTATTTTGCATGTGGTTCTTTTAAGAGGTGTGCCTATCCCACCCGTTTGTTGTCCTTACTAACCTTTGCTGATGCTGAATTTTTCTGTTAAAATATGTTAATGGAAGGATTCCGGATATATTGACACCTATGTACTCCCTGGTGATCTAAGCCCCTTGGGTGTTGGAGAAGCCACTTGGTTTTTTTTCTAGAGAGGCAAGAGTCACCTTTGCATGGCGTGTGTCACCTATGCAAAGATGAAGCTTTTCTGATGACTGCTAATTCTTCAGGATCTTTAAGGAAACCATCGCAAAATGAGATTTGTTCTTCCGACTCAAGAGCTACGTGGATCCTAGAGAGAAAGGGCACGTTTTGGGGAAAGGAATGAAATATGTAATAATGGGCATGGTACTCTAGGAGTTTAAGATAATTCTTGACAGGGTTTTGAGTGAGATTATCATCAGTTACCAAGATGGTGATTCTTGAGTATGGGTTCCTTTATGCCTGTCCTGCGTGGACACTCATTCTAGAAAGTGCTTCTGTGAGCTTCAGTTTGTGCTCTGTTCCATCTTCCATTATTTCTCAAGTCTCCTCTTCCTTCAGGGAGGTGTCATGGTGGTGCCACAAAGTGGGATGTACTTTGGTGTGAGCTTCATTATTGCTTATTCTGAATAACCAAGAGGATAACTTCTAACTGTGTGTAACCTGAGATTGTGAACAGAGTTCCAGTTTGATGAGATGTGATAGTAAACTGATTTCCAAACCAAAGAAAATTGAAAATTGTTTCTTACAATGAACCCTATCAGGACATTCAGGATTGCCTAAATCCTTAATTCAGCTGTTATACAGAATTATTAGTGAGTATGCATTACCTGGAAGTCCATTTCCTATTTGTACAATGGATACAAGAATATATTATGACTATAATAAATATTATTTTCATAAATAAAACATGAAAAGCATACTCTTTTTGGAAGACAGGGCAATTCATAACTCCATATCAAGCAATATAAGATCTTTCCTTCTCCCAGGTGCTGTGGGTTTTTTTCATCCTTAGCCAAGGTCAGTCCAAGCCTTGCAAGGACTGACTGACAATTCTTGGTTGATTTAATTTTTTGAGTACTTTTTAAAAAATCAAATTAGTAGTTGTATAACAAAAGCTATTTTATTGAATGTTTTGTCTGTTGACATATACATATGTATGTATATATATATGTGAACCTTATGTATTTCTGATCGCCACAAGTAATACATATTTTGTCTGTTGAATGAACTGAGTCCCTGTACATTATAAAGCACAAACTTATATCTCTATGATAATATTCTCTGTTAAATGTAAAAGCTGCTAAGCTGAGGGTAATGACAGAGGCAGATTTACAAGCCTGTCCACTTAGCAATGGTTTTATTCACATCTCTTAAGCTAAGCAGATTTAGGGCTGATTAATTCTGATACGAGGGATCCCCCAGAAATCTCTAGACAATTTAAGAAGCATCTGTCATCATCTAAGCGTGGGCTTCTCTGGGCAGGAAGTATGCGCCCAACAGCACAACCTGCTCCCAAACACCGAGTGTGAGGCCTATCAGATTGCTTTATTAATTCAAATCAAATTCAATTGCTCCAGGCCACCACCGAGCAAGCTGATCCATAGATGATCTTCCTCTTCTCTTAGGCTGAAGTTATAAAGAAAACAGGGGTTCTTTCTGTGGCCACACTATGTGTCCCCACTCTGAGTCAGGCACAGTTGCTGCCTTGAGAGCTCGACTCTGGGGACCTCCCTGTGTCTCTGTGGTCACAACCAGGCAGCCACCTCCCATCCAAGAGTCTGCAGTGTCAGTGGCAGTTGATGGAAGATGGCCCAGATCTCACCTCCCTTCGAGCTTAAAAGTGCCATCTCCTCTCCAGAGATACAGATACAGACAGAGGGATCCCCTCTCCGCTGGTTCACTCCCCCAGTGGCCACGGCAGATAGGGATAGGCCAGGTCAAGGCTGGGCGTCTGGAACTCCATCCAAGTCTCCCATGTGGATGGCAGGGGCCCAAGTACTTGAGCCATCACCTGCTACTTCCCTGGATGTCCATTAGTAGGAAACGGGTATTGGAACTGGAAGTGGAGGCAGACGTGCCAAGTAGTTCTTCACCACTGCACCAAGCACGTGCCCACCCCATCTCCAGGGGTTTCAGTGGCCCTGCATGCCAGCTGGTTCACTGCCCCCTTAATCCTCCATGTCTTGTAGCTTCCATGTGCTCCCCAGGGCATGAGCACTGCCGAACATTTTTCCTCCTCTGAGGCAGAGAAGAGTTCATGCAGCAACTCACTTTGTTACAGTAACACAGACCTCAGCAAGTTAGTGCTACTGATTTTCAATGAAAACAAAGCCAAAAACAGCAACCACAAAGAGCATTTGGAGCACTCCCAACTCTTTTTCTAAGCTCTCTCTATAACAGCCTCAGTGGCATATGCACACTGAGCTTATTGTTATCTGATGCTCCCTCAGACCATCCTGAGTTTAATAATCAGTTTAGTATTGAGTGTCCAGTGTGCAAAACACTGTGCCAGCCACTGTGGAGAAGACAAAAATGAAAAAAAAAATGACACATTTGCCTGATGGCACTTGTAAGTCTTAGAAGGGGGGGGCTAGGATGTAAGCACAAATAAGTGGGAAGACATCACCACCGAGGAGACAACAACCAAGCCTCAAAGTCCTTCCAAAGCCGACTTCCAGTGGAAGATGCCGTTTGAGGGATTTTTCCTGAAGCAGGGGGGACTTGAGGTGCAACTCAGAGAGCAGGACTGCCACAGATGGAGGCTGGCCACAGCAGCATTGGAGCTGGCCACCTGCACCCCCTTCCTGCTCAGGCCCTGAGGCCCAAGGGCACCAATTAGGGCTGCAGGCAAATCTGTCACTGTTTCTCAGAACAGGAGCTGTCGCTGGGGTGGTTGTAGCTCTTCCACAAAGGTACACAGGCACATCCTCCTAGGGTTTGCCAGCTGGGGGCCCCATACACACGATTTTCAGCTCTTAAGGCAGCACTAGAAGACTCAGATACATATCCAGTTCTGACTTTGCATGCCTCATTCTAAGAGCGGACTTCAAAAGGTTTGTGGAAAACGGAATGAGAAGGCACATGTCGGGTGGGCACCTGGCACCACCTGGGGTGTCCACATTTCACTTCACAGTGCCTGGCTTCAAGTCCCAGCTCTGCTTCAGATTCTAGCTTCTTGCTAATGTGCAAGATATATATATATAGGAACTCCAAGAGAGAGAGGGAGATATCTGGCTCTCTTTGGCTCTCTATCTTAAATAAATAAGCAAACAAATCAATAGTGCAAAAAAAAAAAATTGAAACTCTTGCATAGTTTTCTCATGAACTTTTTTGAAGACCCCCTCATAGGCATGCATTTCAATTTTTTTTGCACCAAAATAAACTCGTGTTTTCATTCCATTTCCATGAACTTTTTAAAGTATTCTCATAATTTGTCCTATCTGGTGGATCTGTTTCCCCCTACTTCTGTGTCTTGCTGTATATCTTGGCCAGAGTCCAGTCCCTGCCATTATCAGATTTATGCACATCACTGCTCCTTTTCTGTAGAAACCCTACAAGGTGCAGATCATCTGATGGGGCCGGCTCCAGGCCACTCCCAGAGCGGAGTGCCTGGGAAGCTCTCAGAGGCTGACTGTGCCTGTGGGTGTGGGGGGATATGGCTCAGGCTGGGGGAGCCACAGGAAGGGGCCCACGTGTGTCTGAGGAGGCTCTGTCTTCGGGCACTCATCTCCCCTCCCCTCCCCTTGTGTCTGTGTTGCAGATGGAACTCCCGCAGGGCTCCTCTGGCCAACGGACACGCCTATCTGCCGTCCTCAGCCTGCTATCACTCAGCCTCTCCACAACATCCCTGCTCAGCAGCTACTGGTTTGTGGGCACACAGAAGGTGCCCAAGCCCGTGTGCGGGAAAGGTCTGGCAACCGAGTGCTTTGACGTGCCGGTGCCCGTGGATGGCGGCATCCCCAACGCATCATCCCAGGAGGTGGTGCAATACAGCTGGGAGGCTGGGGATGACCGGTTCACCTTCCTTACCTTCCGCAGTGGCATGTGGCTATCCTGTGAGGAAATCATGGAAGAACCAGGTAGTCCCATCTCCCCAGCTGCCCGGGTATTTTTTAGGGGGGACAAGGGATCTTCCTTTGCAGGCAAGCCAATCAGTTAAGACAGTTTAAGGCTGAGGCAGCAGTGGGAGTATAGCGCCCCCAACCTAGCACCTGAGTGAGTCCCTTCTCCTTGGGTTTTCCCTTTTAATAAGGTCAAAAGTCCTGTTGTTCACCTCCTCTCTCTTTAGTAGCCTCGCTGGTTTAAAAATAGCACGTTTGTAATAGCATTAACCTTGGGCGTTGCTTCCAGACCTTTCACATTACGAGAATTTCTGTCCTCGTAAGCTAGAATTGCTGTCTAAAACAAAACAGAAAGGGAGGAGTATTGTAGGGGAGGCTCCAGCTCTGTGACCTTCTGTAGGTAACTTCATTTTTATGGGCCTTGGTTTTCTCAGTTGGTAGCAGAAAGGATCGCCGGAGATCATCTTTTAAAGTCTCTTCCTCCCCCTCACCTCCAAAAAGGATCATCTCATTTTAAAAATTATTGTTAGAATTTTAAAAATCTTAAAAGTCTGGAGTCCCCTAGAGGGTAACTGAGGGGGCACCCTTGGGAAAGCTGATGACTAACCCTCCCAGGTCCCTTGCCGCCTGGTGGGATCCAGCGTGCAGGCACCGCGTCCGAGTCCATGTGTGTTATCGAGATGCAGTCCTCAGGCGGGCAGATGGGGCTGGGGACACTGTCTGCCTGCTCAGAGCAAAGGCCACCCTGTGGCCTGGGAAGAGAGCACCTGGTGGTGAATTTTTCCTAATCCAGAGTCATGTGCAATTTGAGATCTGCTACTTCTGATTTACACTGAGGGAAACAAAGAGATGGACAGGGAATTAAAACGTACGTGCACTTGCATTTATATTCTTTATTGAGCCACCTAAGCCTGCTCCACCCCAATCCTGGAAACACTTTACTACCATTTGGTGTGGTGAGCCCTTTCAAACATGAGCAATACAGACATTCACCCATGGAGGCACTCGCCAGGAAACATCTTCATAATCAGAAATGGAGGAGAAATTGATCTTGGATGACTATAGCCTGTGCCTGTCAGCCATCCATATGTTCCTCCCTGCTTCCAGAAAGAGACATTTATTACCCACCTGCTCTGTAGGCAGGCGGTATTTTTCTGGAGACTGCCCTGGATGGGGTTGAGGAAGGCTTTGGTTCCACCCACCCAAGGCAGCACCTCCACAGAGTTGTACCTTGTATGTTTCAGGGGAGAGGTGCCGAAGTTTCCTTGAACTCACACCACCAACCGAGAGAGGTGAGAAAGGACTACTGGAATTTGCCGCGTTGCAAGGCCCATGTCACTCCGCTCTCCGATTTGGAGGGAAGCGGTTGATGGAGAAGCCCTTCCTCCCCCACCTCCCCCTGGGGCTCGTGGCAAGTATGTGTTTGTTCATTTACCACTGAGTGGGGCCTCTCTGGATCTTACCTGCGCTGTGAGCTCCTGCTCTTCTCTTCTTCTGAGTCCCATGGTGGGGACACCCATTCATCCTCCAGCCGGCCTTCATGCACGCAACACAGGAGTGCAGGGAGAAGTAAAGTTCACATCAAGAATCACCAACCCCTCCAACCTCTCTTGTTGCCAAGTAACCATGGAAGCAGCTTAGACTTTTCTTTTCCTGTAAAATAAAGGGAGGGAAGGAGAAGAGAGTCAACATGATTGTCCCCAAGTGAAATAGGGAACAAGAGAGACAAAGAGGTGACTTAGCAGTTACATCCCTGAAGGATTTGTGGAACCTCAGCAGTTTCTGCTCAGACCTCCCTAGCCATGTCTACAGCCCATCACCACCCCGTCCACTCTCCCCTTGGCGGACACTATCGGGCTCTTGGTTTCTGTGGGACTCCTATGCTCACATTTGTCCAGTATTTCTCGTCAAGGTGAGGTATCCTTCTTTCTCCCGTTTCTTACAGAGATCCTCTGGTTATCACTGGGAGCCCAGATCACCTACATCGGACTTCAATTCATCAGCTTCCTCTTGCTACTAACAGACTTGCTCCTCACTGGGAACCCTGGCCATGGGCTCAAGCTGAGCGCCTTTGCTGCCATTTCGTCTGTTTTGTCAGGTGAGTGGCTACCCAGCCATCTCTGAAGCACTGGCTGGAGGGCTTGAGTCTCCATGCATCCTGGAAGAGAGGAAGGAAAAGCCCAAAGTGGTACGGAAGCTGGCAGTAGGAGATGCATTACAGACATCTTTAGTTTCAACTGAAATTACAAGTGAAACTGTATATTGGATCATTCCGGGCTATAGTGACTCGCCTCAGAGTTCCTTTATTGGCAGGCTTTCTCAGTATGTAAAATCTGCCATTTGGTTCATTTTCCAGTTGTGTTACATACACAGCTTTTCAAGCCTGCCTCTGCTGGATGAAGTGAGAGGAGTATGTAAGAGGAAGACGAAAGGATAGGAAGAAGTCAAAGGGAGCCCCAGTTCTGGGTGCAGCATTGACTTAAATGCTGTCCCACAGCTCTCAGCCTCAAGTCTGGGGTAAGCTACTGTAGAGATGTGCATTCAAGGAGAAGCCGCCATGGCAGCTCAATCTCCCAGGAAATGCGGTGGTGGAAGAGGAATGGGTGCCCCAACACAGGCTGAGTAAAACTGAGGCCCTCACTCTAAAATCAGGCTCACAGGAGATGGCGGTGGGAGCCTTTCTCTAAGGGCTCTACTTGCCTCTTCCCTCTGTAGGCCTTCTAGGGATGGTAGCCCATATGATGTACTCACAAGTCTTCCAAGCAACTGCCAACCTGGGTCCAGAAGACTGGAGACCACATACTTGGAATTATGGCTGGGCCTTCTAGTAAGTGTTTCTCATTCATTTCCCAAACCTCTTCAGCCCCCGCCCCAGCCGCCCTTCATTAGAGCTCCTAGCCTCAGCTAGATGCTTGCTCCTATGTCCTCCTGTCTTTTCTTCATCCCAGAAGCCTATCAACCAGACCCAGGCTTGGATCTCTGGGACACGGCGTTCCCTTTCCTGCATGCTCAGAGGTACAGAGAAGATTCCTCTGGTTGGTTTCATGAGGCTGTTTTGTCCAGTGTTTCTGCTTGCCAGCTGTGGCAATTGTCTGTGAACAATGAGTCTGATTTTGTACTGTTTATGGAAATGGTATTCTGTCCTTTTTTATGATTCAAGGTATTGGAGGGCAGAGAATGGAGAATTAGCTTTGAGATTTGTACTGAGTTCTGTCAATGCCATTGAATTGATCATAAGCTGAATTCTCAGCTATCCATTATAAACTCCCTGAAGCCAAGAGTAACTTCTTGCTCCTATCTCCATTCTTGTTCTACCAAACTGACAAAAATAAAACTCCCAGACCATAGTCATTCTCTAACCCGTCAAAACGAAGAGGTCAGTCATTACAGATTTCTCTTAGAGAGGATCAACAAGCATGACAAAACAAGCACTCAAGCTAAAAAATTCCTTTATTTAAAAGCTTCCTACTTTCTCCCTTGGGGAGCACGCACCGCAAAGCTGCCAGTTTGGACTTGCATTAGCTATCTGGTGTGAATCCTGCGGACAGTAACAGCCCTGAAAAAAACACAGTGCTGGGCAGGATGAAAGCCTCAATATGGCCGTTATGAGATCCTAGCCCCTTCCTCCTTCCTCCATGGTATAGAATGTTAATTGATTCAAGAGTCTTTAGCCTACTCTACCAACAATCACATTAGTTTCTTTTTCCAGGCCCACCGTGTCTCACCTTTGTCCATCTTCAAGCCATTCTTGGCATTAAAACTGTAGGGCTCAGAAGCATCCCAGCCTGCATCTACTTTGTTTAACAAATAGGAACACACAGTCCCCACATGTAGCCTGGCTTTGACCATCACTTGGCCTCATGGAATCCCTCCCTAACCTCACGAAATTTCCTGTTTCCTAATCTTCCCAGAATCATGGGGCAGTTTAGGGCTTTTACTTTCCAAGTTTGCAGGAATGTGTTTGATATAGTTCCCTCGTGTCTGTTTTCCTTTCTTGAATCCACCCAGTTTCTCTTAATCTCCAGTTTCTCTTCTATCCATCATGAACTTCCTTAAGCCAAGAACCACATTGTTCTCATAATAAGCAAATTCCATTTGTGCAAGCAAAATACCGCCCATTTGTAGTAAATACTTTCCTCAGTGACTCTCCGAGGCTCCAGTCTGGGGAACCTAAGACTTGCTAAGTTCAAAACAACGGAAGATGCAAGAGAGGAATGGTTCTGACTGGCCATCTGAGGAACCAAAGGGAAATTTTTGGCAGTAGGTATTGGGATGATAGAGGAAGGGAGGAAAAGGGATAAAGAGGGAGGGAGTGCATTAGGCTATGTCCCCTGCATATGGCTGAGCTGTAGGCCTGTAGAATCTTAGAGATTTTTACAGAAGTAACTGTAGCTTAGGAAATACACTCACACACAGACACACACACAATAGGCACACCAGGTATAAAATAGCGCGATGCTGACAAGTTACCAATTCAGTGGAAACAAACCCATTTAATTCTCCGTGTCTGGTTTTAGTTCTACATCAGTTGTCTTTCAGAACATTGAGAAATGCCCAAAGATGGACCCAATTAAGTGCTCTTGCTCACAGCTTACCTGAAACGTGGGAGAAGGCAGAACACGCAGATCATCCCTAAATTGCTTCGAGGCTCAGCCTAGCCCACCACAGGAGGCGATCATGGCTTCTTTGTTTCTTACTGTCCAATTTTTTTCTTCATTTGTCCCTAGCATGGCCTGGGTCTCCTTCACCTGCTGCATGGCATCAGCTGTCACCACCTTCAACACCTACACCAGGATGGTGCTGGAGTTCAAGTGCCGGCACAGTAAGAGCTTCAAAGAAAACCCAGGGTGCCTACCGCACCACCACCAGTGTTTCCTTCAGCAGCTGTCACGTGCAGCCCACCCGGGAGGGCCCTTGCCCAGCTACCACCAGTACCCCAATCAGCCGCCCCACTCGGTCTCTGAAGGAGTTGACTTCTATTCAGCGCTACAAAACAAGGGGTTTCAACAAGGGACCAGCCAGGAGCTAAAAGAAGCGACTGGGGCCGCTGTAGAGGAAGAACAGTGTTAGGTACTAAGTGGATTTGGAGAGCTGGCTGAGCCTTCCATGTTGTTTCTCATCAACATCTGCTTAAGCCAAAGTTTGTCTCTTGAGCATCATTTTTAGAGGCTAAGAATACCAGGGGCTCTTCAGGTCCAAGTCCAAAGGGGTGCCTGGGTGCCATTGCTCCCATTCCTTCTATGGCTCTGTCTAGTTCTACCCATTTCCAATATCTCATGCACCCCAAATTCCTTTCTTCCCTTTACTGCTTGTGTGCCAGGCTCTGGTCTCTGCAATGGATAAAAAGAGGAGTAAAATACAGCTCCTGTCCGTAAGGGTCTTATCAATCCAGCTATTGGTCTGGGAACCAGAGAAATGGAGGTGAGTGAAGCAATAGTTGTTTGTGGCTCCATTTTCCATGATGAACTTGAATTTTTCTGGAAGTCACACACTGGCACAGCACACTGCTGAGTGCTTTGGTGTGTGAGACAGATGTCCTCCATCTGCCTGTCATAGTGTCCTGTGTCCAAAGCAGGTACCAATAACTGTTATTAAATAGGATCCTAGAAACCATTTGAAGAGTAGTGTAACATGAGGTTCTTCCAGCCTTGTCACAGGGTCAGGTTCATTTCCAGAAATGGCTCACGAGGGTTACTCAGATGGGACTGTGGAGGATCACACAGGGGCTTCTCCAGTGAACAAGGCTATGGCCTTGGCTCCTCTCTGGATTCCCTTCCAAGAAACTTACCTACTATTTCCCCCATTTAGATTGCCAACCACCCACTTGCCCTTTCTCTTTTCCATAAGGAACATGAGCCACCTCTGATGGCTAAGAATGAGAACAGCACCAGGCGTATTCTGGAACACGGTTTTTATTTGTTCTGTAACAGTTCACATTTTCAATAGTGCTTCCTGACAATATACCACCTGGCTCTTCTTTCATGTGCACAATGAGGGGAGCTCACATTCACATTCACATTCACAGGGCTGTTAGGATCCCCATGCCACTCATTTGGGGAGCGGTGAGGGGGTTGTCTAGGGCAGAGCCGGGAGGTTTGGGAGGAGAGGAAAGAGGAGAGGCCGGGAGGAGGGGCAGACCCTCGCATTTGCAGAAGTCATCACTATTTCTAAGTTATGCTCACACTGCCTTGGCTGGCACCCTCACGTCAGGAGAGGGGGAGGGAAGGAGCTCCTACTAGCCCAGACATCATCTGGGTAGTGGCTGCCTGCGAGGAGAAGGAAGTCTGGGGACACATTTGACAAGAGACCAGCACCCCCGTGGGTCAGATGAAGCTTCCTCAATTTCTAGCCACCACTCACCCGCTTCCGTGCCAGCTGCAGGAGGAAGAAATCTGAAGCCGGCACCGTGTTTAACAGCAAGGGAGGAGGCAACCTTACCACAGTCAGAATCTATGTTAAGTCTGCAAATTCATGCACCATAACGAATTCAGTGACATTGCATTTTTCTAGGTTCCTCTTGGCTGTTTCTGGGACCACCCTTGCCCAAAACAGTGGTCTCCAACAGGTCCCCAGTAAGCAACCTTGTATTTCACTCCCGTCCAGCACGGCTAGCTTCCCAGCCAGCAGCAACTTGGTCAGTAACCTGGTCAGGCCCAGCTGGATCAGTCAGGCCACAGGAGCCAACTATGAATTAGTCTTCAGAATTCTACACTAAACCACACTAGATCCTAGGCCCTTAGTATCAAATAGACTCAAACCCTAGAAAAGATCTGGGAATCATCCCCATACTTGAGTCTCCTTTTAACTGTGCCACAAAATTCAAGCTGGACCTGCACACAACTCCCAAAGCATTGAAGCCGAAGTTGCTAATGTGGGTCTGAGGCAGAGATGGCCAGTAACCTTGTTAAGGGCCATCTGCAGGCCAGAACAACGTGCCAGCTTGGACCCATCACTACTGACCTCCTGGGATGTCATAATGCCTATTCATCGGCAATTAACAGATATCCCTTTCAATCTGCAGTCCGTCATTTTCTGGAATCCCTTTATTAGCATAAGCTAAAAAGATAACTAAGTAATGAGAGAGCCTGATTTACATTCACAGATGTCTGGTCAGAATTCTTCAAGAAGAAAGCTGTTCTCCACCAGCCACTGCGGAGTCTTCTGCCATGCGAGCAGTGGCCTACAAGTACAGAGAAGAACCTAATAGAACAAATTTCTATAGAAGAAGGGGGAATAAGCCCTGGAGGTAATTCTAAAGAACCTAACCATTTACAAAGTTATTTACCTATAAATTTCTTCAAAATATAATGCTTCAAAGGGTCTATCAGAAGGGAGGGGAGCATAGAGGAAAATGGTTGCATACTGGACTCAGAAGGAAAAGTCCAGAAACATATCCCTGAATAAAAGAGGAAGCAAAAGCAAGAGGAGGCAAGGAGGACGCCTTCTAGAAAAAGACACTGAGAGAGCAGCAGCAATTCATGGGCCTGCATGGTTCCTGACTGCTGGCCGCCTCTACGCTGAAGACAGCATGCACACACTCTCTCCTGAGATTACGGCAGGAAAATGGTCACGACTGGCAGGACCATCAAAGCCACGTGGAACACAGCACGGGGACTTGGTTGGAGAGGGTCACTGAAACTACTTCTCTTGCTCCCTCTGTGATGGGAAAAGGTTATTCTTATGGTCACTTCCTAGGTAGAGGTGGAAAGTACAAGGGAACAGGATACACAAGACAAGGAAGAGGTGAAAATGCTGGGGTGGCTACCTCAGTCTTTTGCACCTGCTATCTACAATTGGGAAATAACCAACAGGAAAGTGGGGAGAGGAGGAGAACTTACAAGTGACCTTCACAATCAGGCCACTTGCAAGTCTCAAGACAACAGACTACAAAGATTTCACAGAGAACAAGGAACTGGATCCCTGAAGTTGAGGACATACCTGGAAAACAATTTTACCACACTCAAAAACAAACAAAACACACACACACACACACACACACACACTCCATGCACACAGCATAATGCAGGTTAATCATAGCCTTCACTGGTTTCCCAGCAAATTTATAAATTAAGAAATACAAAAAAAAAAAAAAACAACACTTATAACCCATTTGCAAACTCTGCACACGGAGTTCCTAGAGGGGCGGGAGGTGGGGAAGGCGCGCGGATGGCAGAGCTCAGGCCATGCGATGGGCACCTCCCCAAGCGCCGCGCGCCAGTCACACAGAGGTGGTGGAGGTGGCTGACGTCTTCTCTCCAGGACGAGGAGGGATTCCACCCTGGCATCCACTGTGTTCCCCCTTCTGAAACTGCAGACTCCATCAGACTAGATCTGTGGGGGGAAATGGGGTGTCAGAGACCCTCTGTCTCTCAGGAGAGAGAAAAGTGTCAGCGTGACGGAGGAAACTTGGAAAGGGCAAATATGCTGCTGTTCTCCTGGACTTCTGCTTAGCCCAGTGCTTGGTATCTCTCCTCCCTCCAGAAAGGCCCAGACATCGTCCTCCGTGATGAGCTCTTAAACTCTGAACTCCCGGGGCAGGGAGGGTCCTGGTGTTTCCATAATCCAGAGATAACTCTTCTCAGTATGTAACTGCTATAAGCCCCGCATGCTGGCAGTGTCACTGGCTCCAGCCAGACAATTCTAGTAGTGTCGACCCCTCTCAGTCATTGGGACCATAAACACCATGACCCTGTATTTCCAAATGGTCCCTTACGGGAATGGTATCATTTCTGGCTGAAAATGAGAACCATTTCTTCACTGTCATGGGCCACACTCAGCAAAGAATCCTATGCAAACAAACTGGGAACTGATACCTATATACTCAGGAAAGCGGCCAGGCTGGGCGTTGCGGCGTAGCAGTTAAGATGCCACTTAGGCCGGCGCCACAGCTCAATAGGCTAATCCTCCGCCTGTGGCGCCGGCACCCTGGGTTCTAGTCCCGGTTGGGGCGCCAGATTCTGTCCCAGTTGCTCCTCTTCCAGTCCAGCTCTCTGCTGTGGCCCGGGAGTACAGTGGAGGATGGCCCAAGTGCTTGGGCCCTGCACCCACATGGGAGACCAGGATAAGTACCTGGCTCTGCCTTCGGATCGGCGCGGTGCGCTGGCCACAGCAGGCCAGCCACAATGGCCATTGCGGGGTGAACCAACAGAAAAGAAAGACCTTTGTCTCTGTCTCTCTCTCTCACTGTCCACTCTGCCTGTCAAAAAAAAAAAAAAAAAAGATGCCACTTGGGACACCCTATCCAAGTGCCTGAGTTAGAGTTCTACCTCTGCTTCTGATCCAGCTTCCTGTTAGTATGCAGCCTGGGAGGCGGGAGATGATGGCTCTAGGACCTGGGTCCCTGACATCAACACGGGAGACCTGGATTGAGTTTCTGGTTCCTGCCTTCAGCCTGGCCTGGTCCAGCTCCAGCTGCTGCAGGCATCTGAGAGTGAACCAGTGGATAGATACTGCTCTCTCTGTGTGTCTGTCTGTCACTGTCTGTTGCTCTGCCTTCCAAATAATTATTTTTCTTTTTTTAAAGAAAGCTCCTCCTTCCCCACTTTCTCAAGAGCAAAGCTGGAGTTAGTAGTGGGTATCCTTAACTCTTAGGAGGGACCAATTATTTTAGTAGACGCTCACCTGGTAGGGAGAATCAACAAACTTTATCCTGGAGAGGAACCTTCGCAGCTCACCACGACCAATTTTGGGAGTGGTCTCCTTTAGCTGGACCACTTGGCCCTCCATCAGTGCCCACCTCAGGCTAAGCTTGCTGACCACCAGGGGCGCTGGGTGCCCTTCAGAGTTCAGCCCTGTCATCCTGGTAACGTAGAAGGCATCCTTCCAGAGGTCATTAATTCCAACTGGGGAAGACAAAAACGAGTAGTCAGCAAGGACGGCTAGCTTCTACAGGGCAGAGGCCTGGTTCAGGAACCCATGCGTTCATTTACTCAACACAAAATTTATTGGGCACCTAACAAATGCCAGGTCGTGAACCAGATGGTGCAAAGAGAGGCGATGCTAGAAGCCAGCAAAGCAGCACATTTTCATTGGCCTTGGCATCTTGGCTTCTCTAAAGCTATTTCCAAGAAAGCTTCAACACAGGAAATGAGAGGATATGCTCACGGTGGCAAGTATCTGCTAAAAAAGTCACCCCAGCAAGCCTGAGAAATCCTAGGTTGTCAGTACTCCCTGGCCATGTAAGCTGCTTACCTACTTAGTACTTATTTTGTCTCATCTTTAAAAATAAAATTGCAATAAAAATGGTTTTAAGAGTCTTAATTATCACTATATAATAATATTCACTAATACTATTTTATACTAGCATTGAAAAGCAGGGGCAGGCATTTGGCCTAGCAGTTAAGATGCCGACGTTGCACATCAACGCATCT